AGCCAGGCATGGTGGCACAAGCCTTTAAGTCCCAGCACTCAGAAGGCAGAGGAAGGAGGATCTCTGTAAATTCAAGGCCAGCCTGGTCTAAATAGCGAGTTCAGGCCAGCTGGGGCTACAGGGAGACCCTGTCTCAAAAAGACCAAAAAATACAAATAAAAATAAATAAAAAGGTACTGGGAAATCCTCTAACAGCTTTTCACTCCATAGCTGCCCTTGAGTTCCAGGATTTGTCCTGGAAAGGAGAGAACAGGAGAGGGGCTTAATCTGGTGGCAGAGTGAAAGAAGAACTGGGGAGGGGCTCACTGTAGGGCCCAGGTGAGAGCAGCAGGAAGCATTTGTAGATGCCTGGACAGAGCACCGAGATCTGCCTCACTCTGGGAAGCCCTAGAGGAGCAGTTAACCACACAGCCTCCCACCTGAGGAGAGGATTCTGGGTGAAGTCTTAGGATCCTGAATGGTTACAGATGCCACCAGGTTAGGAACTGCTGACCCAGATGTCCTCCAGATAAGAAATTGCAGAGACATGTTAATAAATGAGCTTTCTTCCCTGTAAAATCCTCTGCCAATGAGTAATGTGTTTCTCAGGATTTCTCCATAGAAGTAATTTTGTCATCCATTGCCGAACGATTTTTTCTCACAATGTGTCATCAGTGGCAGATTTGACCTCTAGTCTCTGAATCGAAGGGGAAAAAAGCCCTTCATCCAAAAGGAACTATTTTTAAAAGTAGATAATCTTCCCTCTTTCCAACCCCCCTTCACCTGTTCATAGGTTTGGTAAATCCAAATTATATTAACTTGATTTAAAGCAAAATGGCTATTCTTAGGGTGTGCTTGCTAACCACCGAGAGCACATTTACCTTTTCCCAAGGGAGTATCCTCAGTCTCATCCTCACAGGGAAGGTATGCTCTTCCATTCACCCGGCCACCTACTTACATGTGCCAAAGAACCAATGTAGATCTCTATAGCCAGATAAACCCGACATGGCACATGAGACTTTGGGGCATAGAGACTTGGATGCAGACCCTAACCCTGCCTCTAACCAGTTGTGTGATTTGGGTGATATCTTAGTTTCTTTCCCCATGACTGTAATAAAATACCCTGACAAAAAGCAACTCAAAGGAGAAAGGATTTATTTCAGCTCACAGTTCAAAGATGCCGTTCATCATGGCGGGGAAAGTCGAAACAGCAGGAGCTGGAAGCAGCTGGTCCTATCACAGCTCTCTACAGAGAGCAGGCGGCTGTGACACACCTTTAATTCCAGCACTCAGGAGGCAGAGGCAAGTGGATCTCTGTGGGATGCTGGTCAACCTGGTCTCCATTGTGAGTTCCAGGCCAGCTGGGGCTACAGGGAAACCCTATCTCAAAACAAAAAACAGCAAACAAAAGTAAAAACAAAAACGGGTTGAAGAGATGGCTCGGTGGTTAAGAGCACTGACTCTTCTTCCAAAAGACCTGGTTTCAAATCCCAACACCCACAAGGTGGCTATCAACAGTCCGTAACTCCAGTTTCGGGAGCTCTGACACCCTCTTCTGATCTCCGCAGACATTGCATGACACGGGTGCACGTATATACATGCAGACAATATACTCATACACATAAAATGATAAAAAATAAAGTAGCAGAGAGTAGTGACTGCTAGTGCTCCGCTTGCTTTTCCACTTTCTGCAGTCCAGAATCCCTGCACAGGGAGTAGTACTGCCTACAGTTAAGGTGGGTCATCCCATGTCAATTCATCTAATCAGGATAATGCCTCACAGACATTCTCAAAGGCTAGCCTTCCCTCTGCCTTCATTCCATGGATCTTTCAGGATTGAGATGAACTGATGCATGTATCTGGGTTGGCAGGGTGCAGAAATACGTAAATGGAGGGCTACAGTTTGGGGGAGGAGAGATGTCATAAAGGGGGGACCCAGGAAGTCTGCAGTCAAATCACTATAGCTCTGACTGCTATAGTCAGTAGAAGGCCCAGCTCTTAAGCCTACCTCACTCAGCAAGCAGTATGTCCAACAGGCAGGGAGAACTGCCCTCTGTGTCCATGACAGCACTGTGACTGGGCTCAGCCCTTAATGCCCTCCCATGTCCCCTAGAAGAGCCTTCTCAGCACTGGCAGTCTCCAACACAGCGAGCCCAGTCTCCTTGTGGATCCCTCTTCCACAAGAACCCTTCCATGAGCCCAAAGGTAGTAAGCCATCAAATCTATAACTTGAAGTAAGTCAGATCTGAGGTTATATAATCTCAAAGTCTCCACGTACATCATTCCCAGAGAGATCAAAGTCTTCTTTCACCTCTCCCATCAGTCTTTCTTCTTCTTCTCCTTTTCTGACTTGTAGAGCATTATTAAGCCCTGAATCTGTTCATTAAACCAAGAGGAAACACACCTTGCAATGTCCCTTAAAAGGGAAAGAAAAAGAATGTTCTGAGCCAGAGCTACAATGAGTAAACATTTAACATTACAGAATTCTGATATTACCTCCCAGAAACCGCCTAAGAGGAAGGTAAAGTTTTGTGGGGTTTTGGTGATGTTGTTGCTGTTGAGACAGGGTCTCCCTGTAGCCCCAGCTGGCCTAGAACATACTATGTAGACCAGATTGGCCTCGCCCTCACAGAGATCGCCTGCCTCTGCCTCCCGAGTGCTGGGACTAAAGGCGTGTGCCACCATGCCCAGTGAAGGTAAAGTTTTTTTATGATAAAGTACTATTAATCCCATTTTGCAAGATGAGAACACACTCAATAGAAATGAAGACTTCTCTCCAGGGCCACAGCCAGTAAATGGCACAGGCCTGATTTGCCCAAATCCACAAACAGCAACCTGCTTGAGTTGAAGACTCATATTCTACATAATAGGAAATCATGATAGAGAAGTAGGACTTGGCTACAGTTTCGAGGACTGGACAGCAAGTTTGTGTTTTACATAGTGCCCAGTGGCAAATCCAAGAATGTTTTTTTTTAGCAGAGAAGAAACATGATCAAGGAATGACTTAGGAAAGAGAACATAGCAGCAGTACAGAAAGATAGAAAGACAAGACTGGTAAAGGAGGGGCTACTGGACACATGCCTCTCAATCCAACTGGCAGCAGTAGCCATATAAAGGAGGTCACACACAAAGTCAGGATGCAGCCCTGAAGGCAGAAGGAATACCATCAAAAAGAGTAGAAAGCACTAACAATAACAGCTGGGGTTTTGTTGGTTTTGTTGGTTTTCTGAGGCAAGGTTTCTTATAGATTAGGATAGCCTCAAACTCACTGAATAGCCAAGGATGACTCTTAACTCCTGATCCTTCTGCCTCCACCTCCAAGCACTAGACTTGTAGGCATATGCCACCATGCATAGAAAACGTCTGTTTTTAGTGGCTATTACATGCTTACTGCTGAAAATTTGAGCTCTTTATTTTTTTCATAGTCTCTTAATGGTCTTGTGATATTTATTGCTATTATTGTTGCTATCCCCATCTTAGAGATCTTAGGAAGGAAAATCAAGGTCCAAAGTGGCTTAGGGACTTGTCCAGATTGCAGAGCTAATAAAGGCATGGAGCCAATATTTGAACCCAGGTCTGGCTGATGGTCTCAGAATCCCCTACTGAGTCACCCCACCAACCCACCTACAGAAACAAGCTGGGTAAAGCCAGACTTGGTTCATTGAGCAAGGCCAACCTGGTCTCTGTAACTGCTGTCTTCCCTCAGAGTCCAAACTCCACCCTTCCACAGATCTGAACTGATGGCCATCAGCAAGCCACTGAGGTTGAGATTTTTGTTTAATATTTTTTCTCTAGAAAACTTCACTGTAGGCAATTCTAGTTTAGGCTCAGCAGGCTTGGAAATGTAATAACCTTCAGAATATCAGAGAGTGGGGAGAGAAAAGAGACAAGAGGAAGAAAGTTGTAGGACAAAGGAGGGGACTAGCTCTGCAACCAGAGCCTTCTAAGGAGGATGAGATGTGAGCAGTCATGGGGAGAAATAACATTCCAAAGGGCTGAATCTGGAGCCCTGCAAGGCATTTTGTCTCATTTCTCCAGCAGCGTTCCTTTTTAGGTACCCAGTGTCCAGAGCCCAGCAAATTTCCCTGAAGCTCATCCTAGACATTTTGTCCCAGACAAAGGATTTGGGTCTTAAACTCAAACAATATATCATCTCTAGAAAACAGAAATTCACAAATAAAGGACAGACCCAAGAAACCTAGCATCACGGGGCTTCAGAGTTAGAAGTAGCACTGTCCTGGGCTAGAGAGATGGCTCAGCGGTTCAGAGCACTGGCTGCTCTTGCAGAGGACCCACATGGCAGCAAACAACCGTCCATAACTCCAGTTCCAGGGGAATCCAAGGCTCTCTTCTGACCACCTCGGGCATTACGCAACAGAGGTACACTTACACACAAGCAGGCAATACACTCATATACGTAAAATAAACAAATAAATAAAATATTTTTTAAAAAAGAAAAAGAAGAGTCAAAACATTATTTTAAAGCAGTCAAGTTGTGGTGGTACAGGCTAATAGAATGTGCTGAAGAAGTAGAGAAAGGAAGATCATGGGTTCAAGGTCAGTCTATGTTATACCTTTAGACCAGTGAGATGGCTCAGCAGGTACAGGTGCCTATCATCAAGAGTGATGACCTGCGGGGCATGGTGGCACTCACCTTTAATCCCAGCACTAGTGAGGTAGAGGCAGGCAAATCTCTGTGAGATTGAGGCCAGCCTGGTCTACATGGTGAGTTCCAGGGAAGCTAGGGTTACACTGTCTCAAAAAAGACTGATAACCTTAACCTCAGTTCTATCCCTGGATCTCATAGAATAGAAAGAGAAAACCAACTCTAGCAAGTTGTTTTCTGATTACACACATGTTAACACGTGGCATTCACATGTGCATGTGTACACATACACACATACTAAATGTGATAAAGCAGATTACACTTTACAAAATTCCAAGATTCTATGAGTTATATTAAAATCAGAAGGCTTATTATTCATCTACATAATGATGTATGAGCTTGTCTCATGCATACAAAGTAAGTGTGTGACCAGAGCATCGGCAGAGAAACAAGGAAAAGAATCTGTGTGTGCTCACGCCAAGATTCTGTGACCTGCTGGATTAATGTTAATTAGGAAACTGTGAAACCACACGTCTAGACAGTGTCTGATTAAGTCTCTAGGAACCTGGTGAGATAGGTTGGGGACTAGCATTTCAGTTGTAATTTCAAAGCTCACTTTGATTCAAGGGTCTCAGAAATGGCTTTAATGGAACTAGGTGCTTTTCTATGACTGTGAATTAAAAGGAAAAGTGAACTGAACAGAAAGTAAGTTCCTTAGAAGAAAACACAAGCCCAGCCACAGGCATAGATGCCCTGAGCATCTGATCAGACTACAGAGTACTGGTACATGCTAGACCATTATTGTTAGCACCAGGTGCCTAATAACACAGAGGTTCTTCCTCACTGTTAAATATGAGGCATTGCTTCTGTGATTAATGTGGGATATTATTTAAAAGCTCATCTAGGAGGGAAAAGAGCTCAAACCTTGAAGGATAGCTAGAGGGCACACCGGCATGAGTTCTTTGCAGCTTCGTTCATGGTTGGCATAGCCAATGTCTCCTAAGGCGGCAGGAGGCCACTGCTTGCCAGGGCTGGCTACCCTTGCCCTTACTCCCTTGAGTACCTTTGGCTTCTTCTCAGCCCAAGGGCATCGCTGTAGCTGCCTGCTCAACCCTCAGTTCAGAGCTGTGTCTTTGCTGTGCAGTTTAGGGAAAGGGGAAAGACACCTGGTTTCTACCATCAAAGAGTTGAGGCTTGGGCAACAGTTCCCACACTATAGTCTCCAAAGAAACACTTGAAATGAGTTGATTGTTTAGTTCATGCCAGTTATCCCAGTGTAATTAAGAGCACACTCTGTGATAGTTAATCTTCATGGTCAACTTGATGGGATTTAGAATCACCATGGAAACACAGTTCTGGGTGTGTCTTTGAGGATGTTTTCCAAAAGCTTTAAGAGAGCAGAGAAGACCCACCCTGAACACAGGTGGCACCATCCATCCCTTGAGCTGAGGTCCTAGAGTGAATAAAAATGAGAAAGTGAGACTGGGGAGATGGCTCAGCAGGTAAAACATTTGCCAGTCAAGTGTGAGGGCCAGAGTTTGCCAGGTAGGTGTGGCAGCCTGCCTGTAATCCCCGTGCTCAAGAGGCAGAGACACAGGCAGTGCATCCCCAGAGCAAGCTAGACTAGCAGAACTGGTAAGCCTGGGTCCAAGTGAGAGACCCTGCCTCAATATGTAAGTGGAAAGTGATCCAGGAAGACACCAGCATCAGCCTCTGGCCTTCTGCACACACATGCACCTACACAAAGGTGCACCCACATGCATGCAAACACATTGCACACAAATACATAGCCAACAACAAAGAGAATGAAAGCTAAGCTCTAGATTCATCTCTCTGCCTCCTGACTGTCTGTAGCTACAATATAACCAGCTGCCTCAGTCTCCTGCCACCAAACCTTCCCTGCCGTGACAGGCTGTAACCTCCAACTAGGAGCTCAAATAAACCCTTCCTCTTTTAAATTGCTTTTGTCAGGTATTTTGCCACAGCAATGATAAAAGTAACTAAAATGCTCTCTTTTACTCAGAAAGCTAGCCTATTTCTGTTCTAGGTGGTGAATAGGCAAACTTAGAGAAATGCTGAGAGTGATACAAAACTAGGGAAATCTAATCACTGTTTTTTAATATTTTATTTATTATTTTATGTGTATGAGTGTATTCCCTGCATGTATGTCAGTGCACCTGTGTCATGAAAAGCCCATGGAGGTCAGAAGAAGGCATCAGATCTCCTGCAACTGGAGCTACAGACAGTTGTTAGCTGCCGTGTGGGTGCTGGGAACTGAACTCGGGTCCTCTACAAGAACAGCTTCTTAACAGCTGAGTCATCTCTCCAGCCCAAAACTAGGTAAATCTAGTCATTATAATACTGACTTTAAAATGCAATCATCCTTTGCTCTTTGAAAGATGTGGGGGTTTTGTTTTGTTTTTGCTTTTGTTTGTTTGTTTGTTTGGGAGGATGTTCTTTTGAGACAGGATCTCTCTATGAGCTCAGGCAGCTCTCAATTGTGATCCAGGTGCTGGGATTACAGACATGTGTCATCCTGTCCAACTATATGGTATTTTTATTTTATTTTATTTACTCATTTTGATACAATCTTGGTATGCAACCCAGACTTGCCTCAAGATTTCAATCTGCCTGCAGAGATTTCACTCTGTCTCCAAAGTGCTAAGTACACATGAACCACCATAACCAGCTATACAGTTCTTTTATATGTATGACTTTGAATTAACAAATGTGAGCATTCACTATGTACAGGGCCCTCTTCTAGATGCTGTGGGAGATACAAAGATAGGTAGGGCATAAAGGCAACTCTCTGTTACTGTAACAAAACACCTGAGAAAATCAACTTGAAATGAAGAAAGGTTTCCTTTGACTCACAGTTTCAGAGATTTAAGTCCATGGTTAGTTGACCTTGTTGTCTTTGGGCTTGTAGTGAGACAGAACATCACAGCAATGAGTTTACAATCAAGTGAACTGCACACTTCATGGTCACTAGGAAGCAAAAAGAAGAAGAGGAATCAGGAGTCTCAATATCCTCTTCCAGGGTACATACACATGTGTCCACACACATGCAGATATGCACACACATATGCCCACCAGACACACACATAAAAGTAGAGAAAGAAAAAATAAACATAAACAGTATGGCACATATACTTGTGGACACACAGCATTTGAGGGTAATGAACAGCTGCTATTTGTGATGTATTTCCTACACTATACTTTTAATCATTATTTCAAAGTATGCTCCTGTTTATTTTAATTGTGTGTATACATGTGTGCAGGTGTACATGTATATATGTGGAGGCCAGAGGATAACCTTAGGTGTCGTCACTCCTCAGGAAATCTGTCCACTTATTTTTTTAATATTTTATTATTTTTATTTTATGTGATGACTGTATTGCCTGCATGTGTGAGAGTGCACCTATGTCATGCAATGCCCGAGGAGGTCAGAAGGTGGCATTGGAACCCCTGGAACTGGAGTTATGGACAATTGTTAGCTGCCATGTGGGTGCTGGGAATTGAACCCGGGTTCTCCACAAGAGCAGCACTCTTAACAACTGAGCCATCTCTCCAGCCTCTGTCTACTTTATTTTTGAGACACAGTCCTTCATTAGCCAGGTGCTCACTCAGGCTAATCTGCCTGACCAGTGAGCCCCAGGAATCTACCTGTCTCTACCTCCCTTGTGCTAGAATTAAGGGAATATACCCCTGTGTTCAGCTTTTCTATTTGGATTCTGAAGATCAAACTCATGTTGTCATGCTTATAAGGCCAATACTTTACTGACTGGGCCATCTCCTCAGCCCTATTTTTTTTAAGTTTACTGTAAAACAGTATACCATGTTGTATAACAATAGCCTTATACATTTGGTAAGATTTGTTTTGTGGCCTACCATGTCTATTCTGGAGAATGCTTCATGTGCTGATGAGAAAAATGTATATTTGGCAGTGGTTTAATGGATTGTTCTATAGATGTCTGTTAGATACATTTGGCCTAGAATGCAATTTAACAATGCTATTTCTTTGTTGATTTTCTCTCAATGATCTGTCCATTGCTTAAAGTGAGGTATTCAGGTCCTGGGATGATTAATTTTGATTTTCAGTTAATAAATTTCATTAGATTCATAAACACCTACGTCATTAATAAAGCATAGTTTTGGGTATGTCTGTGAGGGTGCTTCCTGAAAGACCCACAGTAAATGTTCATGACAACATCATCACTGGGGAAATCAGGTACTCTCTTCTTTTGGGGGCTTCTTAGTCTTGTTAATAAAATAATTTAAAAATGGACTTGAAAGGAAGCTTAAAGACAATTTTATTGGTGCTTAAGGGGAAAAAGACCAGAGCAGGTAAGCTGTAAATCGCATCAGCTAACCAGAGGAAGGAGATGAAAAAGAGGAAAAAAGCCACACTTTCTGCAGTGAAAGAATGCAAAGAGCCTCGTGGGGAAGGGGCAGGGCTTTAGAGGAAGAGTAAGAAGGCCCAGAGAGAGCAGGAAAAGTGCGCAGTGTTGGCTTTGGTCAATATCTGAAAGAAAAAGATAGAAAGAAGAAAAAGGGGAAATTACACTTTTCTCAGTAACTTAGAAAATTGGGCAGGCTCTGTACTGCTGCAAGATGAAAGGTCCACAAGCATCTGCACCAAGGGAGAGGCTTCTTGGAAGGATAAGTACAGCATCTCATTAAGGGATTGTATTAGTCAGGGTTCTCCAAAGAAACAGAACTGGTAGAATGAATATATATATATTTATCAGCTTAGCTCACAGGATAGTCTGAGTAGTCCAATAATGGCTGCGCCACACTGGAGAGGCTGAGAATCCTTAGTTGCTCAGTCCACGAGGCTGGATGTCTCAGTAGTCCCAATCTGGCGCTGAAGGTCTGACGAATTCCAAAAGATCAGCTAGTCTTCAGTCTACAGCAGCAAGACGAACTCACCAGCGAGAGAGAAGGCAAGCAGCAAAAAGCCAGCTGTTCTCTGCCATGGCCTTTTATATGGGCCGCCATCAGAAGGTAACACCCACAATTAGGGTGTGTCTTCCAGCTTCAGATGATTCTCTCATTTCAGTTAATCCCAGATCCATCAAGTTGACACCCAGGATTAGCTATCACAGGGATAATTAGTCCTTCCCTTCGCTTAGCTTCTCTTCAGGTGAAGCAGATTTCCTGGGAAGGAGAGTGGACTCCTGGCCAAGTGATTGACAGGTCCAGCTGGATTAAGTCTTTTTTGTTGTTTTTAACATTTTATTTCATTTTATGTATATGAGAGTTTTGCGGGCATATATGTATACATACCATGTCATGTGCATGCAGTACCCACAGAGGGCATTGGATCCCCTGGAAATGGAGTTACAAACAATAAGTGTGAGTCAATTCATGGGTGCTGGGAACCAAACCTCAGTCCTCTGTAAGAGCAGTAAGTGCTCTTAACTGCTGAGCCATCTCTCTAGCCCCTGGATTAATGCTTAAAAGGAGAAGACAAGGTCTGGAGAGATGGCTCAGTGGTTAAAAACACTGGTTGTTCTTGCAGAAGACCTGGGTTCAAGTCCCAGCACCCACATGGCAGCTAACAACTGTCCGTAACTCCAGTCCCAAGGGATCTGACAATCTCTTCTGTCCTCCTTAGGCATTGCACAACACAGGTGCATTTACCTATATGCAGGCAATACACAAATAAAATAAATAATAATTTTTTAAAAAGGAGAAGACAGTGCATAATATTTTAATATTTGGGCAAACTGGAATGTCATGTCTCCACCCAAGGCCAGAAGTGGAATGTAAATTCTATTCTTTTGACCAGGAAGTAATTTTGCTTTATTGGGTCTCAACAAAGCCCAGATACCTCCACCTCTTCATATGGTAATTTATATCCTAAGAGGCCAGCTGAACATCCACACTCCCCTTTCTTTGCTTCCTGATCCACTCAGATGTGAGCAAGCAGCTTCATGCTCCAGCCACCACGCCTTCTGCACCATGAAGAGCTGTACCCTCAAACTAAAAGCCAAAATAAACTCTTTTTTGACATTAAAAGTATTGATAGGTAAAGTCTTACTGAAGCTATTTTGTGCCTTGTTTTCTAGTTTTATTATAATTCCTTCCTTTTTTTATAATTTTCCTTTGTGGTTAAATGAATTATTCTAATAGTGTGTTTTGATTCCTTGCCTGTTGCGTTTGGCTTCACTATTATATATATATATATTTACTTTGTAGGCTAGGAATATAGTTTAGTGGTAATATATTTATAGTTACTATGTGTGTACACCCATACCCTGAAATGCCCATGGAGACCAGAAAAGGGCATCAGTTGTTACTGCTTTGTGAGTGCTGAGAACGAAACCAGGGTCCTCTGCAAGAATCACCCTTAATCACTGAACCATCTCTCCAGGCCTTTTCTTGTAGTCTTGAGCATCTCCTCTTAATCTTTCACCTTTGAGAGCATGAGTATATCTAAAGTACACGTGGTTGAAGTACATTTAGCTGGTGACCTTTGACTTTCCTGTACCTAGGTTTTTGTGACCTCTAGGTTTGGGATGTTGTCCTTATTATTTCTTTGAATAAGCTTTGACTTTCTCAGTACCTTTTGGTGTTCTCAAGTCCCTCTTAAACCTCAATAGCCTTAATATTTGCTCCATCAATACTGTCCTAAAATTCCTGCAGTTTTTCTTCATTCCTTTTTTTTTCTCTCCAACTGCGTATTTCAAATAGCCTGTCTTCAGACTCACTAATTCATGCTTATGCTTGATCTGGACTGCTATTTCTGCCTTTTATTATGTTTTGCATTTCAATCAATGTATTTATTAGTTCAAGAATTACTATTTTGGGCCAGGCATGGTGGTGCATGCCTTTAATCCTAGCACTCAGGAGGCAGAGGCAGACAGATCTCTATGAGTTTCAAGGCCAGCCTGGTCTACATAGTAAGTTTAGGCCAGTTGGGGCTACAGGGAGACCCTGTCTCAAAAAGACCCAAAAAAAAGAGAGAGAGAGAATTCCTATTTTACATTTCTAATTGCTTCCATCTTCCTTTTTTTTCTGTTTCTCTGTTAGAATTTCTTTTTCTGTTTTCTTGAGAATTATGAATTTCCTTAAAACAGTTGTTTTATTTTTTAAAGATTTAGTTATTTTATCTATGTGTATTTGTGTGTGCACATATGTATGTGCAGGTACCCACAAATGCCAGAAGGGGCATCAGATCCCCTGGAGCTGCAGTTAAAGGCATTTATGTGCTGCTCAATGTGGGTGCTGGAATCTGAACTCAAATCCTCTGGTAGAGCAGTAAGCATTCTTAACTGATGAGTCATACCTCCAGTCCTAAAACAATTGTTTTAAATCCTCTGAGAGTTCTTCCATACTGACTACTATCTGGTTAGTTTCTGACACTATACTTTTAGTATTTGGTAAGATCATGGTTTCAGAAAACTCTTGATGTTTGTTGGTACACAATGTGGTCTAGGCATTGAGGGATTAGGTATTGATCCCAGAATTCCTAATCTGGGGGTATTTGTGCTTGTTGTACTGGATAGCTTTAGTTATCAACCTGATACGCCTGGGTAAGGGAATCTCAATTGAGGAATTTCCTTCACTGGACTGGCCTGTAGCCATGTCTGTGGGGCATTTTCTCCACTGTTGAGTGATGTGGGAGGACACAGCCCACCGTGTATGGTGCCACCCCTGACCAGGTGGACTTGAGTTGTTTAAGAAAGCAGGCTGAGCACAGGCCAGAGAAACAAGCCAGTAAGTAGCATTCCTCCATGGCCTGTGCTTCAACTCCTGCCTCCAGGTTCCAGCCCTGAGTTCCTGCCTTGACTTCCCTTCATAATGGACTGTGTTTTAAGCCAAGTAAACTTCCTCCCCAAGTTGGTTTTGGTTAGTATTTTTATGATAGCAATAGAAAGTAAGACTAGAATTTCCAGAAATTTTGAACAGGCTGATTATTTTCTATGAACTTATAGGCACTTTGAACATTTCAACACTGATTCAGATTTGCCAGCAATCTGCTTTTTGTGTGTTTTCACAGATTCAGTTGTAGATGGAAAGCCAAGCCCAGGTTTGTTCCAAACATACTGTTGGTATATTGTTCATAAATAACAAAGACAGTCCCTATAAAGACTGATCTATCCCTTTAAGCCTCTTCCTGGGCCTGAGGTTGACACAGTTGCCTCATTTATAGTTAGAAACTTGTGATCAGACCCTGTAGAATTCTAACTGGCTCTGGGCAGAGTCACCATGGATGAACCAGCTCTAAATGCCCATGTTATACCTACACTGTGGTCACCAGCACCACGAAACTGAGCCCACATCTTGCCAAGACCAACACAACACTTTGGTCGAAGCAAGGCCCACCCTGCTAGGGACTGCCTATTGCTAAGGTGAACTTGTGACTCAAGAGCATGGCAATCAGCCACAGGTGATGCTACTTAGTATATTAATCCAATAGACTGAGGCTGTATGTCTTCACCCTAGTGCTAGAACTATTTCAGAGGCTCCACCTCAGACAGACCTGAGGATGGAAGCTATTAGAATCTGTTAATTTTCATTATCAACTTGACTGCATTTATAATCACCATAGAAACATCTCTGGGTGCATCTATGAGGATGTTTCAAGAAAGGTTTAACTGAGAAGGAAAAATACCCACTCTGAATATGTGTGGGCTGGGGTTCTGCACTGAAAAAAAGGAGAAAGCTGAGGACCAGTATTCTTCTCTCTCTGCTTCCTGAGAGACACAGTGTGATCAGCTGCCCGACCCCCATGCTCCTGCCACCATGACTCCCCCAGCATGATGGACTGTATCCTTCCAAAACTACAAGCCAAAACAGATCTTCCTCCTTTGTTTCTTATCAGGCATTTGGTCATAGAAACAAGAAAAGTAATTAACACAGGATCTTCATAGTATAAAGTTTCATCACTAAGTCCTAGAGCCAATCTTTGTGCCTACTACTCTGTCCTACACCTAGCAAATGGGGGTTTGCACCACACTATGCTGCTCAAGGCTAGTACTAAGGTATCCTGAGTCTCACAGCTACAAGGACCTGTACAATATTAGGATACACTAAGGTCCATGCCTCAGCTTACAGTGGTACAGGCTGAAATACAAGTTCATCCCACTGAAATACACGTTTCTGCCTGGTGCAGGTGCTGATACCATTTCAGAGTCCTGTCTCCAAGCAGTGGCCTGACAAGAGCTGTGCTGCCCAAGGTTAGGGGATAGGTGAGGAAGACAGTCCCTTGGCCACCAAGGCTGTTGCTAACCTGGGATTCTAAGCTCAGCTGCAGAGGCCTGTACAATCTTAGAATAATAGTACTTGTCCCAGAGCCCACCTTCATGCTGGAAGTGATGTGGTGAAAATCCCAGAGCCACAAGGACCTACAGAGTCTGTTCTACTAATGCAGAGGTCTTTGCCTGATGCCAGACAGATCTAAAGGCTCCATCGGTGAGTTCTTGCCTGCATATGGGACCTTCAGCTTCTACCAGGTACTGAGTCTTACCATGGTGAATCTGGCACTGGGCTCTAAGACAAAGCCTTGTGATACATCTTTCATGTTCCACTCCCAAGGAGATAGAATCTTGCTCCCCACCCTGTGGCCTGAGGTTGGAGGAGGGGTGTTAGAGACCATCAACCACCTAGATCAAAGAAGTTCTAGTGGCTCATATTGGCCTGGGAGCACAGGTCCTGGGGCTTTTCCTGGCACCAGGTTCTACTATAGTGTGTCTAGTGCTGGGTTTCAAGTCTAAAGCCTAAACTTAATTCACTCTGTAGCCCCCAGTGCATCTCTTTCCATACGGGGCGGCTTGAAGTAGGTAGAGGGGTAGTAAGGGCAACTCTTTCCTTCCTGCTTTCTCAATTGGTCTTTTCATTTTTTTGATATGCTAAAAGAAGACACTATGGCCTCTAAGACAACTCATTTCCTTAACTGTTACGAAGGAAGTGTGATGAATGAATAAGCTGTTCAACCTGGTGTCTATGAAGAAACACTCAACAGACGATCTTAGCCGCCATCTTCCTTCACCCCCTACTCTTTTTCTTTTCTTTTTTTCTTTTTTTTTTTTTTTTCATCTTTTTGCGACAGGGTCTCCCTGTAGCCCCAGCTGGCCTGAACTACGTAGGCCAGGCTGGCCTTGAACTCATAGAGCTCCATCTGCCTCCTGAGTGCTGGGATTAAAGGTATGTGCCACCACGCCCAGCCTATTCTTTTTCTTGTAGCCTTTAGGGTTGCCCCTTTTGTAGGTTGTGCCTGAGTCAGTCACAAGGACCTGCAGTGTTAGGGGACGCCAAGGACCTGCAGTGCCATAGTGAAGTGGACCTTTTTATACATACATATATACACACAGCACACATCTCTGGGTGGCTGGAGTTACTTACGTGGGTAAAGAGATTCTTCAGACCCTCGTGTGAAAGACATGGCTTGGCAATGGGCATAAACACAGTCAAAGTAACAAGTCCTTCTCCTTCATTCCCCCTCCAGCTTTGCCTGATGACTACAGTCCAGGAAGGCAGGAAGCTAGAAGACAGTTCCTCTTCTTGAACTGCTAACCTGCTGTGTCAGTTTCACAAGTTAGTAAATGATTGAAGAAGGCTTAATTACATCAGCAGGAATTGACATCAGCTGGTGATTTTGCTCCACTCAATTAACTTGTGTTCCTAAGGGGGTGGAGCAGGGAGCAGGGGGCAGTAGTCGTTAATTACATGTCCTGGTGCCAGCTGCTGCCTCCATTTCCTCTCAGTAGTCACCCAGGAAGTGAGCAAGGTGACTCTCCTTCCACAAGTTTGAAGTCACTGAAGGTAGGAGACCCTTCAAAGACAGCAGAGACCCTTGGTCTAATAGAGAGTGGCAGATATTCTAATAGTAGCTTTTTAGTGTCCCTCCCCAGCTTCCACAAGAAGAATGTCCTCTATGGTCCCCATCCTAACTTCTACACTGGCTCCATGCCCCACTCCCCAAGCTGATGTGCCTTTGGCTCTTCTGACACACCCCCTCCTGCACTTGCCCCAAGGACACAGAACCCATAGTTAGTCTTGTCATGGGCACCAGATGATGCCAACAACTCTGCAAGTTCACCCCTCCCTCACACATGCCCCGTGCTAACCGTGCTGCCTCCAGACTGAAAACCTCCCAAAGACCTTCATTCCTGTATCATTTCCCAAAAGGACCAGATGGTAAGATGCAAACCTGGTACAATGTAGATTCCTGCCCCTCCAGGAAGCCTGGGGTTTGTGTTTCTTGGTTTGTGGCTCTGTTGATTGTTACCACTGGTCCACTTGAAGAAACTTTATTTCAGGGGACACCTCAGCTCCTGGTAAAATAAGGGCAGACCTCTGGAAGGAGAGATAGCAGCCCTGGAGTCAGGAGACTCCACTCCTAGTACCTTTCCAGTTCCAGCTCTGTCTTGGGGTTAAGCAAGTTACTTATCCTCCCTGAACTTGGTTCCGGCCTCTATAGGATAAGCTATTGGGCCAAATCTCATAGTCTTTATATTTTCATGGATCAGTTTTCTAAAGTAAATGATAAAGATCTGGGGAGATGGCTCCGTGGTAAAGTTACCACTGAGCCCTGAGGACTTGAGTTTGATCCTCAGAACCCACATTAAAAAAAAAAAGTCAGGCACAAACTAAAAGATAAAAAGGGCCCTGACTGGTGGTTCATGCCTTTAGTCCCAGTATTTGGGAGACAGAAGCAAGAGAATCTCTGTGAGTTTGAAGCCAGCCTTGTCCACATAGTGTGTTCCAGACCAGCTAGTGAGACCCCCCCATCTCAAAAAACAAAGAAACAAAAGAACAGCCACTCATGGTGGCATGCACTTGTAATCCCAACACTGGGGAGGCAGAGACAGGCAAATCCCTGGGGCTCACTGTCCAGTCAACCTCACTCAGTGAGTCCTAGGTCAATAAGAGACCCTGTCTCAAAAAGCAAAGTGAATAGTTCCTGAGGAACAAAACCTGAGGTTGACTTCCGGCCTACACAGGTGCATGCGAACACACACACACACACACACACACACACACACATCCCACATGCACCCATAGGAATACACCCACCCACCACCCTCCATATACATACACATATGCACACCCACAATAAAAATAAAAATGGGGACTGGAGAGATGGCTCAGTAGATAAGAGTACTAGCTGCTCTTGCAGAAGACTTAGGCTTGGTTCCCAGCACCCATATGGCAGCTAACAACCATCCATAACTCCAGTTCCAGGGGATCCAGTGCCCTCTTCTGACCTCTGTGGGCATTGCACAACATGGGTATAGTTACATGCAGGAGGCAAAATGCTCATATGTATAAAATAAAAATAATAAGTAAAATATTTAAAAATAAATGGAATTGATATATTAACCAAGCATGTTGTATGGGTTTTGCTCAAAAAGCAGTTTTTAAAATACCCCTCCACTCTTTCCCCACCCTTAAAAAACAAACAGAGGCGGGGTGTGGTGGTGCGTGCCTATAGTCCCAGCACTTGGGAGGCAGAGGCAGGAGGATCTCTGTGAGTTCAAGGCCAGCCTGATTTACATAGTGAGTTCCAGGCCAGCTGGGGCTACAGGGAGACCCTGTCTCAAAAAGACAAAAAAAAAAAAAGAAAAAAAACTTGGACCAATCCACTGCTTGCTTGTTTGTTTAAGACAGGGTCTCCCTATAACCCCAGCTGGCTCGGAACTCACTATATAGACCAGGCTGTCCTCAATCTCACAGAGATCTGCCTACCTCTGTCTCTTGAGTGCCTGTGCCACCACACTCAGCCAATCCACTATTTTTTTAACTTAATTCAGCAGATAGTGACTCACAATTATTCACAGTCTCAATTCAGAATTTAAAATGCCAGTTCTGAGTAACCATCAAAACACTCCCCATCTGATGGTATTGGTTTTGCTTCTAGTTTGAACTTGCTGGGGCAGAAGTGGTGGAGAGACCCTTCTGTCCTCTACACCACCCCTGCTCTTTCTCTCCCTACCTCCGCCATGGTTTTCATATACCTGTCAGGATAGAAATTATGCACTCTTAAGGGGGAACAGCTTAAAACTGGTTCTTGCTTTTGTGAATTTGAGGGCTATCCTGAAGTTCCCTTAACCCAGCAAATTGTCCCTATGGGTCCCTGACAACCCTCTTGTTTGGCCCCTGGGTACCTGGGAGCCACATCCAGCCTCTTCTGTTGGGATCTTCTCACCAATGGCCACTACTCCAGACGCTGAATCAGCCATAGTCTTCCTCCTCCCTCAGAAGTGGGAGGGAAACATTCACAGCACAGCAATAGCTTTCACCAAATAGATCTTCCTCACCGTTTCTTCACCATATCATCGATCCATCTTATTGGTGTGAGGTGTGGGGTATGTTGTGAATGCTGAAAGAGACTTCTTACATTCCCACTGTACATATAGTCAGAATATGGCCAACATGAGGGCTTGAATTCTGTTGTCTTCTGACTTCTATCAATATCTTTTGGAACTCACTCAAACAGCAGGACACAACCTCCATTCACACCTGACTTACCCTTCAGAGAGTGAGAACATCCTTGAGAAACGAAAGCCTGGTTGTCTAAAGCATCAGAGGCAGGAATTGCCCAGACCGTGGAGGAAGCATAGTCAGAGCCACTCTCTAGATGACTCTTGACCTTCTCAACCTCTCCCAACGTCTACTCCCAGGATCTGCTGGCCTCAGATGTGAACCGATGCTTAGGCTCCAGCTTCTGACCCAGAGGGAGAAGGTGGAGGTGCTCATCCCTATCCATTGTGAAGGTGGTTCTGTGGGTGTAGCTAATGACTGGATCGTCTTCCCAATACAAACACCCCTAGGACACCAGAACAGAGTCTGAGCATTACACACAGGACACACACTTGAGTTCCCTAGTGGAGTGTGAAAGAGAGACCTAGCCAGGCTCCTGCCCCCAATGAGCCTCATGTCCCCGGTGCTCCCAACCCACCATCCTGCCCTGCATTGGACAGAAGGTTACAGAGGGGACAGAGAGATGAGACTGAATGTGACCTTCCAGGTCCATCCCTAGGCACTTAGGCTGGGAGCCTAGGAAGCCAACACAATGGCCAAAACCATGAAGAACATGCCAACTTGGAGTCCTAGGGTCACTACTTGGTGCCAACTCCAGCTCCAGCTTCTCTGACCACTCAGTCTCCAAATACAGCTCCCATTGACCTTCTCTGTCTTCTCTGGCAGGGACCAATGCCCTTGACCATGATGTACCCCCAACTGCTATGTGCTCAGGTGCAGCCTGCGTGACCAAGCCACCACTGCTTCAACTTTTCGTGTACGTATAAGGCACATTTTCCTCCCAGAAGAAGGTATTCAGACCCTGGGTAGAAAGGCAGCTGGGTGTGGTGGGAATATCACAAAATTCTAGGCACAGAGAGCAAGCCCTCAGATTCGTTAGTTAAACAACAGTTTTGTCCTCTTCAGACACCTCAGCCCTTGGGTTGGCCACCACTGAGTTGTGCCCCAGATCCGATAGGATCTGGGTGGGAACACAGGGACTTATTTTTATTCATGAAGCTACTCAAGAAGTAGCTGGCATGATGGAATGCCGCAACATAGATCTGGGGTCCTGGCTCAGATACTAGCGCCCTGTGACTTTAGATAGTTCACTGGACAGTCTGGCCTCTCCTCCTGTATTGTGGGATTTCCGTAAGGTCCAGTAAGGTATATCAGTTACTTTTCATTGTGAAACAAACTTGGCAGCATAAAACAATTACACTGTATATCTCAGAGATTCTTTGAGTTAGGAGTCTTATGATGTAGAGCTGGGTCTACTGCTTCAGGATCTGTTAGAAGGTGGCATTCAAGGTTTAGGCTGGGGCTACCATTATATCAGAATGCCAAACTGGGTGGATGGGAAATAGGCTTGCTTCTATTCTCACTTATGTGATGATGTGATGGTTGTGTTACTTCTGGACTCTGGACTGAGGGCCTCAGTCCCCAGCTTGCTATTGGCCAAACTCCACGCTCAATTCCTGACCACATGGGCCTCCCAATTTAGCAGCCTATTGCATCACAGCCAGCAAGGGAGAAAGTTGGCTAGTAGAAGGAAAATTAGAATCATGAATCTCGGGGCTGGAGAGATGACTCAGCAGTTAGGAGCACTTGCTGCTCTTTTAGCAAACCAGGTTTGGGTTTCCAACACCCACATGGTAGCTCACAACCATTGTTAACTCCAGTCCCAGAAGATCTGGCACCCTCTTCTGGGGCTCCAAGCACCCACACAGTGCACATATATACACTAAAGCAAAACACTCATACACATAAAAATAAATCATTTTTTTAAAAAAGAATCTTGAGCCTGTTCATAGAAATGACCTACTGCCTTTGCCACTTTTTTATTGGTTAAAAGCAAGCCACAGGTTACACTCACACTGAAAGGGAGGGGAGTATACAGAGCATGCCTGCCAGGGGTGGGGATTATTTAGAGCCATCTTAAAGTCTGCCCAGCAAAAGAGGGAATGTAAGTGGAAACACTTGGTAAACTGTGCCATGTTGTTCAGGTGTAGGGATTGTCATTATTTGCGTCTAATTTGGGGGAGGGGGCAAAAAGGTCCACCTGAAATAACAGGGAGCCACTAAGTGTGGGAATTTAAATGTAAAATTGTACAGTTAATACCAGGTCCTCAGAGAAATGGACTGGACCAACTTAGTTCATTTCATACATTTTATAAACATCTTCCTGACTTATGATTTTAAGGGCACACTTATGCCACCAGGAAATGTGTGAGCCTTCTATTTCCCCCACAAATAATCATGTTGGGGAGGATTTTTAAAAATTATATAAGAGGGGCTGGAGAGATGGCTCAATGGTTAAGAGCACCTTTGTCTGGTTCCCAGCACCTACATAGCAGCTAACAACAGTCCTTAACTCCAGTTCCAGGGTATCTGTTGCCTTTTTCTGTTCCCCTTGGGCACTTCGCACATGTGGTGCACTTACATACATGCAGGCAAAACACATATACATATAAAATAAAAATAAATTTAAAAAAATTTAAAGTTATAGAAGAGTCAGGAAACCCTAGTACTTAGGAGGCTGAAGCAGAAGAATTCCTGAGCGCTTGAGGACAGCCTGGGTTACATAGTGAGTTCCAGGTAAGCCTGGACGACAGAGTGAAACCTTGTCTTCAAAAACAAAAATCAAAGATGTTTACAAGCTTTTTTTCTAACAGTTTTCTAAATCAGGAAGACGCTTCCAAGATGAGATGTGTGCTTAGGGCACAGCTGAGCTCAAACCTTGAGCCATCAGAGGCCTGGCTCTGTCCAAAGTCCCTTCTCCCCCCCACCCCACCCCCAAAGCATTTTAGGCCACTGTTGCTATAAAGCTTCCCTGGTACTGAAAGAGGGGAGGCCAGGCTCCAAGGCAGGAAGTGGGGAACTGTTCTTACATGGTTTCTCTATAAGTCTTCTAGAACAGGCTGAATACATTCCATGGAAATAGGCCAGGACTTTCAAAGCCAGTGCAGTGGCTTCACACCTGTAATTCCAACACTTGGGATACTCAGGCCGGAGGATTGTCACAAAGTCCAGGATGACCTAAAATAGGCCAGCCTGGGCTACAAAATGAAACCTTGTCTCAAAAACAAAAAACAACTCAAACAAATAAACAAACAAAAGCTAAGGCTTCTGGCGGAGTGAGTCACTGCTCCTTCCTAACTGCATGTCATCCCATAGGCAAGTCTTACAAGCAGCCCTCAGTGGTGAGTATGTGTGGGATCAGGGGAAGATACAGCAACGTTGTAGTGACGTCAAATAAATCCTCTCCAGCATTTGATTGATCTCCCCTACACACCTGCCCGCCATATGCCCCAGGCACCCCCAGAAGCGTGACCTACCATGCATCTGGGCAAAGTCAAATCCTTATTCAATAGTGATGCTCCAATTTGTGGATGGAATTGAGACCTACAACTTGCTGCCATCTAGTGGTCAGTTAGAGTCACAACTGCCAAGCCTGTGACAAATGCTACATAATGAAATGATTAATCAACTTTATTAAGTACATCACGTTACCTGCTGTGTACCAGTGCATGATGTATAGTGCTTTGGGGGCTCAGGATGGGAAGAAAGGATAGAAAATGCTATAGTACAATCCCTGATTGCAAAGGATTTATAGTTTCACAGAGGAGTCAAGATATTTCTACATCAAAATTGACTAGCAACATATTGCAGTAGAATCCAGAATTGGGGCAAGGCCTCAGGGATAGGACTGTTGAGGCTTTGAAGGATGTGCAAGATTTGAATAGATAAGAAATATAGATCATGTACCAGTGAAAACCCCTCAGAACTCCTCATCACTTCCAAAGAAGTCAAATCCCAGTTCTTTGTCTAGCCTACAACCTCTCTGCTTCATGTCTCCCCTCACTTGTCCACATTCCTGGCGTTTTCTGGAGCCCTGTTCCACCAGCCCCATGTTCTTCACCCCTGAACTGTTTATTCCAGCTGCTTGTCTCTCAGCTTGTAGGATTCAGCACAGACCTTCTATAAAACATCTTCCTCAGCCAACAGCTACCCTTCTTCCACGTCCCGTACCCCTGGTCTATGCTCTATATCATAGGGTTTCTAAGTGTCTTTCCATCACTAAGCTTATTGTTTAAATTTTTATGTGTGTCCTAGTTTGTTCTTCATTGCTGTGACAAAACACTCTGACCAGTTCATCAGGGAGCCCAAGATAGGAACTCAGGGCAGGAACCTGGAGGCAGAAGCTGGAGCACAGGCCATGGAGGAACGCCGCTTATTGGCTTGCTCCCTTGGCCTCTGCTCAGCCTGCTTTCTTATGCAACACAGGCCCACCTGCCCAGGGGTGGCACCACCCACAGTGGGCTGGGCCCTCCCACATCACTCATCAAGAAGATGCCCTTCAGACATGGCCACAGGCCAGTCCAATAGAGGCAATTTCCCGATTGAGACTCCCTCAACCCAGGTGTGTCAAGTTGACACTAAAGCTATCCAGCACAATGTGTATGAGTGCTTTGCCTGCATTGTATGTAGGTACACCCATGCATGAAATGCCTACGGAGGCCAAAAAAGGATGCCAGATACCCTGGAACTGGAGTTTGGGACAGTTGTTAGCTGCCATGTAGGTGCTGGGAACCGGACCTAGGCTTTCTGCAAGAGCAACCTGTGGTCTTAACCACTGGGACATCTCTCCAGCTCTACCTCTTAAACTTCTTAAGGACTGAGACTGCCATGTGCACCGGAGGTTTCACCTGGAGAACAATGGGAGGTGAGAAAGAGAAGCTAAATTGATGGTGAGCATACAGGAAGGTTGGGGAGGGCGAAGCCTTTGAAACCGCACCCAGATGAATCTATCCTGGTGTTAAGAAGGTGCTGGAGCCACAGACAGGCACAGGAGGAGGGGAGCATGATGAAAACCCAAAGTGCAGTAGAAGGAAGAACACTAGACACAAACCCAGCGTGGTTGGCTAGGAAGCACTGCACCTGTTCAGGCAGGAGAGGCAGTCTTAACAGGGGGAATAGAAGACTGGAGACCAAAAGAATGTGAGATTTTACAGTCTGAGCAGCTGGGTTCATCCTATGATTTGATCAAACTAATGTGTAAATGAATTATCCAAGACCTTTTAAAAAATTTATTATTTTTATTTTATGTGTATGGGTGTATTGCTGCATGTATGTGAGTGCACCTGTGTCGTGCAATGCTGCAGAGGTCAGAAGAGGGCTTTGGATTCTTCTGGAACTGGAGTTAAGGATGGTTCCTAGCCACCATGTGGGTGCTGAGAATCAAACCCAGGCCCTCTGCAAGAGCAGTCAGTGCTCTTAACTGCTGAGCCATCTCTCCAGCCCATATCCAAGACCTTTTTAAAAATCAGGCTCTCATTTCTTAGGCCTCTGGTGGGGTGGGAGATGCTGTGTTGCCAGCACGCTCCCATGGGAACCCAAACTGCTGGACCACAGATCAACCAATAGCAGTGAGGCTGCTCAGTATCTCTGAATGAAGTAGGAGAACCTGGTGGGCAGCTGGTACCTTTGGGTGAAGGAATAAATAGCCCTTCATCCAGGTGGCCCCACAAGATGCACAGTTTGGTGAGCAGGGGGCAGCTGAAGCCCAATCCCCATTTGTCTTTCTGAGCAGCTCTGGTGTAATCACACCATTCATGGAGAGCTCAGAGGTTTGCACCCATTTAGAGAGCAGAGTGCTGGCTTTAGCCCATCTATATTGCATTTGAGAATCTATATGAAGTGGAATATCTACATGCAATGAGGGGATGAGACTGGCTTGAGATTAGGGACCGTGCTAACCTTGGGGGTCTTTTGCAGGGAGTAACACTCTTCTCCCAACATCTCTGTACCTTTTGTGTCTTTCAGGTCACTGTTCCCTTCACTGAATGTAAGTGCTTGTCATTTTCCCATACTGAAGCCATCAAGTTTTCACTGTTCTGTGGGGTCCCTATCCACTGACCTGAAAGGCTTGGACACATATGGAGCTTACCTATGTCCTATTCACTTGACCCCAGGGGGCCAGGACCCGTCTCCATAGCCTTCCAGGAGCCAGGATGCTGCTTGCTGGCTCACTATGGGCTCATGTGCCCAAGGTTATCCACTGACCTCCACAAACATGAGCACACATGTGCACTCACATGCACACAAACATGCATACATACAAAAAATAACAATAGCTGAGTGTGGTGGCACATGCCTTTAATCTCAGCGCTCAGGAGGCAGGTGAATCACTATGAGATAGAGGCCAGCCTTGTCTACATAGTGAGTTCCAGGCCAACAGGCGCTACATGGTGAGATCTTGTCTCAAAAATGAGTGAATAAATAAATAGTTTAAAATTTTTAATTTAAAAAAGGAGGAAAAGAGAGAAGGAGAGAGGACTACAGGGGAAAGACAGCAAGCCACTTTAACACTGGACAGAAACAGAGCAGTTAGCACTCTGTCTTTTCCCTCCAGCAGCCGCAGCCCCCATCCCACCCTGGATTAAGGCATAGCCAGTCATCTGTCTTCAGGATACCCCTGGGGCCCACTCAGCTCCTGTTCTCTCAGGTCCCCCCATCCCAGCTGTGTGGAGAATGCCATGCAACTGTTCCTAACTCCTCATGCATCTTTGCAGAGTTTGATGGGGCGTCGGTCGGATGACAGCGGGAACGGTTGTGATCACTGGCGGAATTCTAGCTACTGTCATCCTCCTCTGCATCATCGCTGTCCTGTGCTACTGTAGGCTCCAGGTCAGTCTCCTGGGCCTGTAGCCAGTAAACTAGTTCTCCATTATGGGGGCAGAAACTGGAGGCCCACCTTGGAGCCAACAAAGTCCAAAGCTATGAAATATGGGAGGCATAAGTCAAGGGGGCTGGGAATTGAGAGTGGTCAGAAGGGCACTGTGCGTGCCACACACATACATACCCTACACCCTACAGGGCATGAGGATATCCTGGGAAGATGCTGGAACTTTGTGTTCACCTCTGAGATTTCAGGAGTGGTGGAAAAGTCACCATTCTGGGAGACTCTGAAAGCTGCTGCCAGCAGCCTCCAGCCCTGTCCTCTTGTGCTGTGTATATCCCTCCCCTCTGCCTCCCTGCCCAACTGGACCATGGTCTGGAGTTCATACACTGAGAAAAAAGGAAGAGTGTTGACCTGGCAAGCTGAGAGTATGCGTTTCTGGGATGCAGGCCTCTAGTACTTGGGTCTAACATCAGCACCAACAAAGTGACAGGCACAAGATACTCAGTGAAGAGGGAGGGGTGGTACTTATGCACACTCACTGGTGCTGGGAGGAGAGGGAGCTGACCAACTCTCAAGCATCCCTTTCCCCTCCCCCCAGTATTACTGCTGCAAGAAGAGCACAGACAACGAGGATGCAGATGAAGAAGAGGAAGAGGAGGAACACGACCTTTCCACCCATCCTAGAGGCCCCACCTGCAATGCCTGCAGCTCCCAAGCCCTGGGCGGCAGAGGCAGCCTGGTGCCTCTCACCAGCGAGCCCTGCAGCCAGCCATGTGGGGTGGTGGCCAGCCACTGCACCACTTGCTCCCCATACCGCTCCCCATTTTACATACGGACAGCTGACATGGTGCCCAATGGGGGTGGAGGCGAGAGGCTCTCCTTTGCCCCTACATACTACAAAGAGGGGGGAACCCCATCCCTCAAATTGGCAGCACCCCAGAGTTACCCGGTGACCTGGCCAGGTTCTGGGCGTGAGGCCTTCACCAATCCAAGGGCTATTAGTACAGATGTTTAATTCTTTTGCCCCCAACCTGCACACACACACACCCCTATATGGCTGCCCCGGGAGGAGGAATGGAACACTAGAGGGGGGCCTCCGACAGCCCCACAAGGACTATCTCAGTTTCTCTGGCTTTCCTTGCTCCATAGCAGAGGGTTCACTGGGATCTGAGCTGTTGAATGCATTGAGGACCAGGACAGGACCTGGATCCAACCCCATGACTGAGGTGAGGATCTCATAGGTTGAGTTTATGGCTTCCCCAGTTAATCTGTTGAGACCTCCCTCTGACAACCCAGCTCTACCACAGCCCTTCCAGTAACCCCAAACTCCTCGCTTTGCTGGGCTGTGCAAAAGAGTTTCAGGGAAGTCTAAACAAAGGCTCTGGAGTTTCCAAAATCCTTGGAAAATGAAGTGGGCATGCCTAGAAGAAATTGGGACGAAGGGCAAAGAGAGAAATGAGGACCAGACAATTTGAGGAGAGGAAGAAATGTTAAAGGTCTTATTTGCTGAAATGGTCCCAAGAGCTAATTTACACTCTACTTTTTTACTTTGGTTATCATAGATAGTGTGGTTCCTGGCTGCTGTGATAGGTGCCCTTCCTCATGGCACGCATCAACAGACTCTGAGGCCATGGCATACAGGGACTGCAGCAAGAAGTGGCTATATAACCTTATCTCCCCAAGTCCTCTTTGCCTCAGGAACCAGATGCCCCCTGCTGGAGAAGCTTTTCCAGATTTTGTCACTAAAGTTCTAGAAGCCTAGGGAACAAACCTCACTGACTGTCCCTGTTTCCGCGTGCTCAGCTACAAATGTGGATTTAGCCCTGTGAGGGTGTGTGTGTTCCCATTTCCAGGTGTGTGCACACTCACATGCAGAGGTCACCACCACCAGCAGCTGAGTGGCTTTGTCTCCTTCTGGGGTTGCAGAGAGGGAGGGTCCAAGGTTAACAAGAAAGAAAAAATTGGCCCTCCAATTAAAGAAGTCAATCTCCATGGCAACCAGAAGGCTTGTACAGGAGGGACCTGGGGCAATACTAGAGCAGTTGAAGTTCCACACACCTGTACAAGCAACTACAGAGGTTGGGTATACAACTTTTGAGCATCCACCTGTGGTGCAGCACCATGAAGCAGGACTGTATCTCAGCAGAAGCCATAGCCTTCATCCCCGAGTTTTGGAGGGCTCCTGAAGATTGGATGTGTCTTAGCCATTAAATTTCATTCTTGCTGCTGCCCTTCAACCACCCATTTCCCCAATCATGGGATGAGCTGTTTTGCTGTCCTACTCTAGCCCCAAGTCCAAGTCCCACTTCCTGCTTACACTTAGCAGTGACCTTATGTTTTGTTTTGGTTTGGTTTTTAGTAAGTATGCCTGATAAGTTTTCCAGTTACCTCTGTGGTTAAAAGGTAGCTGCCCCCCCCCCCCCCCCCC